TTCCTTCATATTACAAGTTTATTGAGTGGTGGTGGGGGCTCCATTCAGCCTTGTCTTCACTCTGTGACCCAGGTGATGGAGCAATCATTATCTTAGATTTTTCTGGTCATGCTAACAGAAAAAATTCTGAAAAGATCTCATACCAGCCATAAATTTCTTGCCTTGAAGTGACATACACCATTTCCATTCACAACTCCCTGGACAGCTAAGGCACATTGCCCAGCTCAGTTATAAAATGTCTTGGAATTGCATGTAGTCTAACCCCTATGGGCCTAGTAGGAGGAGAACCAGAAATATCCGGTGGCAGCACTAGTGACCGCCACAATTTGCTTTTTTGATTACCAGGTATTTGGCTTGCTTTCCCACCTTCAGGTGAAATACAGTCATCTTGTCTCCAAAGGGGCAACCTGCAAGCCCCACCCAGTCACGGCATCTGGATGCTGCCCAGGGCACTCTAAATTAGGGGGTGATACAAAGTCATTTTGACACAAACTTTAGACCAGGGTCCTCTTGAGCTCGAGACTTCTGAACTAAGAGAGGCAAGTTTTCTGATGTTGACCCCCTCCCCCACCTTGTATATTACTATGTAACAGTGAAACCAAAATTGGAAAACCCTTTGTGCACTGCAATTCATAAAGAGGGCAAGTGGAAGACATCCAGTCACTGGTCCTCAGTCATTTTAAAATGCTGAAGCCATTCCAAAATCCCTCTGGGATCCTGCCTTGTCCGTAGAGAATGTCTTGATTCTTCTCTTGGGGAGGTCCTCCCCAGTCTATTGCTGTCTTTGGCCCTTGGCATTTTCCAGTAACCTCCTTGACCACATCTAAAGTTGAGCACCGAAGAATATGCCCTCCTTAGGGCCTGCAGCCACTTTTTCATCTGCTTCCCAGCTTTAAAGGGTTGGAGGCTTAACAGTTCTTTAGGAAAACTTTTCTCAGTTTTCCCACCTTTTTAGGTTCAGGCTGGTGGTTTCTTTAGCAGTACAACTCTTTTCAAAAAGACATAGGTTTCTTATCTATTTAACTCTAGATGATTCCATATGCCAAGCCCTCAGTTCTTGGCATGCTTTTATTCACTGTACACCTGAGGGCTTTTGCTTCCAATCTCTTAACATTTATTGACTTAATTGATGATACTTTGAACCTATCAGGCTTTGGTGGGGAAGCCACACCTCAAGTCTCTTTTTCCTATGCTAATTGAAAGAATTAACTAAGAAGCCACAACTTTAACTGCCTCTATTTGGAGACCTTCAATCTTTCAGTGTCAAGCCATTAAGCCAAGTGAGTGTGACCGCCATGCTCTTCCTTTAACCACACCCCAAAGCAAAATGCTAATTGATGTTTTTCACGCAAAGCCTTTCTCAGTTTTATCCTTTATCTGTTGGGGAAAAGAAGCAGCTGGTTTTTCCAACCTTGCAAGGCTGATTGGTGGACTCTATTCCCTTTCCTTGTTGCTTGTGAAGTGTCAGTTATTTAATGAGAGCATCTCTCTCTTTTTTTTTTTTTGGTTACCCATTTTAAAATGCAGCCAATAGTAGCCAATAGTAACCAACGCATGCTACTAACAGATGACTCTCAACCTCTCCCACAGAATCTACTAATTCTTTAGGTATGTTATCTGCCCTCCAAGTTACAAATTGGGTTTTATCAAATGCTTTTGCCAGCTTCCAGATCCGTTTCCTTACTCCCTGCTGCTTAGCCTCTAAGCCAGTGCCACATTTTTTGTTGCTGTTAAAGCAAGTCTTATTTCAAGAAGCAGTCAGAATAGGCCAGGCTCTGTTCTAACAGACAATACCCACATCTCGGTAGAGTAAAGGTTTATTTCATGCTCGTAGTGTATGTGCAATGAAGACTGGCTGCATCCTCCCTCCAAGAGCTAGGTTGACAGGTCAGCCACTATCTGGAATGCTTCCCATTGCCATGGGAAAGCTCTGTAGGGTTCCATGCCTGTACTTACCTGCTCTGGCCTGGAACTGATGACCTGAACATCACTTTTCACCATTAAAGCAGTTTTCCTTCAGCGTCATTTTTGAACTGTATCCATTTTGAGACATATAAATCTAATTGATCCTTGAAGTTATATAGTATTCCATCATAAACCACATTTTATTTACATATAGATGGACATCTATACTGTTACCAGGTTTTTTATTATTAATATTGCAACAGTGAATATCTTTGTATATGTCTCCTAGTGCTCATGTGCAAGAATTTCTTTAGGAAATAGTTCCTTTTATTCTTTAGAATATGCTGAGAGAGGTTGGACCTAAAGTGAACTACTGATCTATACAGCACTTTGTTTCATGAACATCAGCTTCTAGTGTATACACACCTCACTGTGGTAAAAACCATTTTGAAGGAGTACATCAGTTTCTTTGTTTGCAGTATTATTCTTGTCCACTTTCAACCCGGTCTCCTGCTGAGCATCATGATGCATATTCTAGAAAAATTTTTAAATGGCATCTAGTTTAAGGAGGAGGAGTAAAGGGTGAATGCAAACATTCTGAATCTAGAACCAGCATCACTTCTGGCAAACACAGAACAGACGCTTATCAGTGGTTCAGCTGATTTTATCAAAGCATCTGGGTATCCTGGATTGGAGAAAACATGCGTCATGTACAATAGCTATGTCAGGATGTCCGTCCTTCCCTTCTCTTCTATCTCCATCCACAGCTTGTATATGGGAAACGTAGTTTAGGTAGACCTTGACATCAGGAAGATGAATAAAACTGTATGCTTAAAATATGACAGTGTCCCATAAAGGCATTAAGATGTGATAGAGGAGCATTCAATTTTTCATGAAAGTAATAAATGAGCATAGGTAATTCAAAGCAGTTTCCATCACCATTTAAACTAATGCAGTATTCCAATTTGCCCATTTTATCTTAACCAAAACTGCTGTTAAATATTTAACTGAATCATCAAAACTTTACACTTTTTTCCACTGTTTTGTTGAGTTGCCAGCAAAAGCTTTGAAAAGACTCAAAAGTGAGCAGAAAGTAGGAAGGAGAAACCAGGATTCTAAATGACATATAATGTTTCAGTGTCTCCTGTTGTGTTTTTAAAAGTGAATCCTCTTTGTAGTTGGTTGTACTTACCAATATCCAACCAAACCAAAGGCCACATAGGGACTCTTCGTCCCACAGGGCTGGTGACAGCTGTGGCTGGGTGAATACTGAATTTCTGGTACAGAACTAGATTATTTTCTGGGTTTCACACAGCTTGTTCTGTCCATTCTATGCTGAGAGGTCTCGATTTTCCATCCTCACTGAATTCTTATTTTTTTTCCTTCTGCATGTCCTTAAAGTTCTAAGTGTAGAACTGTCTCCATCCCCTTATCTGATCTCTAGCCTTCACCCACACAGTCTGCTCATCCTGCGACCCCCTAATGATATTAACTTGAAGGGTTGGCCTTCTATACCTTTCTGTGTGTGCATATAATCATAAACACATAGGGGTCTTCCTTCCACTGTCCTTCCTTTTCTTACTCTCTTCCTCCCTTCTTCCCCTCCTTTTTTCAAACCAAATTGGGTAAATACATTATTTACACTTCTAGGCAGCTTTCAGTTTTCTCATTAACAAAGGATTGTGGCTATCTCTGCAGGCAGCTGGGCTAGATTTCATTCATTTCAATGGCTGCCCAGTATTCTGTGGTTTGGAAGTCATACACTTTACAGTGTCCCTTTTAAAGGGCAAGCACGTGTTTCCAGATTTTTTTGTTGTTGTTTTTAAATTTGGCTGCTCTAAAAGGTGCTGCAGTGAACACTTATACCTATCTTTGAATACTGGTGCTTTTCTTTTCTATGGACCAGGAGATGAATTAGCTGGATTAAAAATATATGTGTACTTTTAATTTTAATAGATATTGCCAGTGTCTTTCCAAAATGTGTTGCTTTCCTAGCAATGTTCCAGAATACACTTCCACCATGCTGTCCAGGAGTAGGTGTCTTCCCTATTTTGATAAGAATGGATTATAACCGTAGCACTGATTGCATAGCCCAGGCATCTGTTGACAAGTCATATAATATTTCGGTAGAGTTTAAAATGAGGGTACTGGTCAGCCTGTATGATTGAGGGGTGGTTGTGACTTTTTTTTGTATTTCTTAAAGTATCCGTAGGAAGCTTATAGTGGGGAAAGAACAGGAAACCTTTCTAATGCAATCCACCCTTTCACATGTAGGGGAACTGAGGTCCAGAGAGGTGGAGGGGTTGCAGTGAGCAAGTTCCTGTCTGCTGCTTCTGAATCCCAATTCGAGGCCTTACCTACTATCTACACCAGGCTGACTGTGAATTTTAAGCAATGGACCAAAAATGTTCTCTGTGAGCTGAATTCGACTAGTAGGCATGAACTGTTGCCGGTTGTCTCTGACCTCCTGTTAGGGCAAGCAAGCTTCCCAGCCTACACTGGGCTCTGTGGGATTTGCTTTGCAAACTTCTGCACAGAAAATAAGATCGTTGTTAACGTGGTTTTGTCAGTGGAATTTGCTGCTTTTAATCTTTCTGGGAGTTTAGGATTTTATTTTTCTATACTGTTAGAGTTACTGCTTGCCTAGTGTGGAATAGCTGGCTTGGATCACAGCTAAAGTGAATCGCTGTTTCTTTAGCTGAGATTCTGATAAAACAGCATGTGGGAGCCATGATATATGCAAAATATATACAGATAAGGATTGTGATTACATGCAGCTTGGTGAGATGCTCAGGCCCTGTGAAGTACATGGGAATTGAGACTGGCCTAGGGAACTGCAGAATCCTAGTTCTCATCTCCCACTCAGTTCCAAGGCTGATTCTAATTGAGAGTACAGTGTGAGCAGAATCATGGACACCATCTAAATTGTAAATTTCTCCTTGCCAGTCTCTTCTTTTAGGCACAGAGAGTTGAATTCGTGTAAATTGAATGTTAAATGCATATGTGACACCACTTCATTTCATTCTTGAATATTCAAAAATTGAGTGTGTCTTTAAATGTACAAAATTCAGCAACACTGTCTTTCTGTCCACTAGCCTTCCCGTGGTTCGGCATGGATATCGGTGGAACGCTGGTTAAACTGGTCTACTTTGAACCGAAGGATATCACAGCTGAAGAGGAACAGGAGGAAGTGGAGAACCTGAAGAGCATCAGGAAGTATTTGACTTCTAACACTGCTTATGGGAAAACGGGCATCCGAGACGTCCACCTGGAACTGAAGAACTTGACCATGTGTGGTCGCAAAGGGAACCTGCACTTCATCCGCTTCCCCAGCTGCGCTATGCACAGGTTCATCCAGATGGGCAGCGAGAAGAACTTCTCCAGCCTTCACACTACACTCTGTGCCACGGGAGGCGGGGCTTTCAAGTTTGAGGAGGACTTCAGAATGGTAGGTCGGGCTTGTCCTTGCCAAAACAGCAAAACCCCCTGTGAGAGAAGGAAGGAGTGTGTCTCCCGCCCGTTCCCTAACTATGAGCCTCCTACGGAGGAGCTGGCCGATTCGCTGGGGGCTCTCGTTACTTCACCTTCCTTGCCTGCGTCTATACAAACAGTTTCTTCCTCAAGGGATTGTTACATGAAGGATTAAATGAGGTGATACGTACTTGGCATTTAGTAAATGCTCAGTAATTATTAGCCATTCTTGTCATCATTATTTCTGTTGCAATTACTACTGTGCAATGTGGTAAAGATGATGTAAACCCCCTTCTGAGGTATTTCAGTTAAGAATTTTCCATCCTCTCACTGCAGGTCCATGAAAAGCATAATCATTATGCCTGTTTTATAAATACATAGACTGAGGCCCTTGGGAAAGGCTATAACTCCTATGAAAAATTATTCTATCTATCCATTTGCTCTTTTGTGTTTTATGAATGTCATTCAGAAGTTTTGTTCACAAAAAAAAGTAATACCAACAATATTGATATTATTTATAAGTGAGTTGCTTTATTAATGAATAAGATTTAGGGAGTGTGGTTCTACATAATAATAATGCTGTAACCTGACCGGTAGTGCATACCATCTCTGTGTTGCTCATTTAGATTTGACAGATTTGGCTAAATGGAAAACATGAATGAGAAGCATTGAGTCCAGACTTTCTTTTTAGTTAGCAATCCTTTAACAGCTATGTGTTCCAGTTTTCCCATCTCTATATCCAAGATACTTTCTATAATGTCCAGCCTCATCTCATAGGGAATAAAATGAGAATAAAGTGAAATAATAGATATAGAAAATAAGGGAAGCTAGATTGAAGTGATTGAACATTAATCGCTTAAAGGAAAAAGGATTAGAAAATCTGGGGGTTAGTTTTGCCAGCAAGTTGTAAATATAGTGAGGTAAATTGTAAAATATATTTTCTCACAGAGTGCCCATGACTGGCATTTTGTCATGGAGCTAATGGAATGCAATCTTGCCATAAAATCTATCAGTTAATAAATCTACCATGAATAAATTAATCAATCAATGCATTATTCATGGCATTTAGTAAAGCTATAAATGCAAATTTATTTGTATCATCAAAAGTAACATCATTTATCTCATTGATGTACTAAGTAGTTTCTAAAAAAAGTTGTCAGTGGAGTCCTAGCACATATCTTAAGTAAGACTGATTATGTTCAAGTTTTGACTTTTTTCTTCCGTGTCCCCTCTCCCTACCCAGCAGTAGGATTCAATGCTGCCACTTAGTTAAATAATCCATGGGACCTTTTTCCCACCAAAGGGGTCCAGTGATCAAAGAAGTTTCTAAAACTGAGAAGGCTAAGATCCAGGAGCATGAAAAGTGAATTTGAGTTCATAATTTAAAAAGCTTTGGACCTGACTTCTAGTCCTGTTTCTGCATTTAACTGCCTGGGTGACTTAGGGCGGTACATATCCCTCCAGTGGGCTTCAGTTTTATCATCTGCAAAAAGGTGGTTGGTAAGTTGGTGAGAAGAGAAAGGATCATGAGACCTTTGAAGAACAGGACATGTAGAATTTTTGTACTGCATGGATAAGGAAATGAAAGCTAAAGAGAGATTAGGAGGCTCTGGTAGGGCCCCCAGGTAAGAGCTGAAACGCGCTCAATTCAGATTCAGAAGGAAACGTTGACCGCACTCTAGTGCCGTGAGTGCCCCAGGTCCCCCAAGGGAATCCTGTCTCTCCATCTCCACCAGGGAACTTGAAGAGAATCTAGGTAACCTGGAGCATTTATGCAACCCCTGTCAATGCCCATGTCCCTCCTGTGGAGTAATGTAGGTTGGCCGTGAGGAACTGTGTCTCTCAAGGTTCTGTACTGAGAAAGTTCCTGTCTATTAAAACCAAGATAAAGAAGCTTCTGCTCTTTTGGGCAGGGTTGCTGGAGCCTAATGAATAGCCTGAAGCGGAGAGCAAGTCTGGAGTATGTGCCCCAAATGATCTGGCCAGCTGGGCATACATCTATAAAGAAAGTATGCTGCTGCCTTCAGTGTCTGTGCTGTCTTGGCCAAAGTGAAGACACAATTGAGAAAGTCAGGTCTCTTCCCATAGCCTGCTTGTCAGTGCACTAAATGTTGTGCCTGTTCTTCCAGGGTTTGTGAGGATGAATAGGTTTTATCATCTTCCTATGCATTCATTCACTCATTCAACACGTATTTGTCATGTTCCTTCTATGTACCAAGTACTGTTATGAACAAAACAAAGCCCTTTGCGCCCCCGGGATTATGTTCTGATCAGGGAGACAGTCAATAATTAAATAAGAGAATATAGGATATACCAAATGGCTGTAAGTGCTGTGGAGGGGAACAAAGTAGGGCAACAGGGATAGGGCGAGTTGGAAGGTTTTTGTGTCTTGAGGTAACACTGGAGCAAACCAGGCCTGTATCTGGGGAAGAGTATTTTAGGCAGAGGGAACCGTAAGTGCTCAGGCTCTTTGATGTATGCTGCATCCAAACTCTTCCCCTTTCCAGAACAGAAAATTTTAAATGCTTTCCTGATTGTAAAGGAGCAATATATACTACTGTAAATAGTAAACATTCCAACAAACATTAAAACAGTGTATGCACATACTATAAATATACAATACAATAAATTTTTTTTTTCAATCACTGTTTTTGGTATAATACAACTTTGTAGAAATGTGTTTTAAAAATCTCAATAATTAGGGCTAACTAAAAGATGTTCAGCTGATCCTGGTTAGTTAGCAGTCATTAAACTTGATGACTATATCCTTTTCGTACATAGTAAATGTACTTATCCTTACTAATGTCACCTAGTCTTCATCCAATTTAGAATATGCAAGAAAAAGCTGTAAATCTTGGGACAAGCATTAAATTAGACCCTGTGTAGAATATTTTCAATTACACAAAGCTGTATTTCTCCCTCTTTCTTTTCTTCTTTTTTTCCTTTCCTCCTTCCTTCCTCCCTCCCTTCCTTCTTTTAACATTTAAGGATCACATCACACATTTCTGACTGGCAGAAATTAACCTTCACAAAATGGAACACAAAAGAAAGTCTTAATCTAACTACAAGTGGTCTAAGAAATTGACAAGCCAATGAGGAATCTGCAGCATTTAGAAAAGTGGTCCTCAAGGTGGAGATTCCGTGTGATTATGTAGATTTCAGGGAGCTTTGTGTTTATCCCCACTGTCCCTATCCTGTGAGTTTTGTTTTAGAGAACCTACCAGGACATTTTCTGAACCATATCTAGTATTTTCATCCACAATCCTAACTTGAACAAGAGTATCCCTCAGAATGTATTCTAATAGAAAATTTATAGAAAAAAGTCCTCCCTTTTGTCCACCTAGCTCTTCCGTACAATAGCTACTTTTCCATTGTGAGTTTTCAAGAGTAACATTAATTAGAAACTAGAGTGACTCTTAATAGTTAAAAAACCCAAAGACCCACCCTCTGAACAAACAAACATAGCACAACAATCTTATCTGGTCAACAGTAGATTTAGGGAACAGAAAAGGATTTTCTCCTTGCTTCATTACATTTTCTATAAGGTGTGAGGATGTAAGAGTTGGCCTTAAGCCAGAAATTTCCAAGGGAACAACCTAAAGAAGTTAATAATGGAAAAACCCTCAGGGGGGTGTAGGGTTCTTGTGGATATTTGAAATCCTTAATCTCAGTGTTCTGTTCCATAACATTATTATTGGCAAGACTCCCGCTACTCTCCAGGCACTAACCTGTGGCACTGCAGGAGCACAAGGTGCAGTAGACACCGTCGTTTTCCACTTCATTCTGGCTTGACACCTTTGACCATTAACTCCGGCGCCTTTTATCGTAGGGTGTGCAGGAAGAAGCCATCTTTAAGGTTTTGTTATATTTCTCACTCATAGGACACATTTGAAATTCATCTCTCTCTCTCAGGTCTCTATTGTAAAGGTTTCCTTTAGGAGGAGAAAAGAGCCCTGTAATTTGTCATTCACAATCAACCATTTTGTATGCAAATTGTTCTTGGTTTGGTAAGATAACCTTTTCTGCCACTTCCAACATGATTTATGGAGCCAGTGTCAGCCAGGGCACCTTGGGAAGCATAAGGTATCATACAGATGTGCATTTTATTCATTTCTGAAATACAGTTTAGGGACTCATTTCCCAACTGCCAGGAGAGTGATATAAAGGGTGTGGTAGGTCCATAGAATACTCTCATAAGAGTAGGGATGGAACCTCTCGGGACAGCTTTTACCAGATTTATCTTTTGGGCTCTTTACTTAGTTATTTTTGATAAACCAAGCAGAAGCCTATAAGAACCTCTTACGAGTGTCTCCCAAGCATGCCTTGTGTTTAGGAGCCACCTTTTTTCTAACATAAAGGAATCACAGAATTTCCTCTAAAAAACAGAGTCTCGGTGTGGAAATAGTGTTTCCAAATGTATTTCAACTTGAGATAAGGAGAGCTGAATTATTTTACTTCTCACATAATTTGCACTCATGTTTCCCAAGCATTTTCACACAGCCATCTCATTTGGTTCTTGAAAGCCACCCAGTGAGTTAGCACAGCTGCTGTCAGGGAGAGGACGTGACCTTAGCAGCTGCCTGTGTCACCTCCCTGGGGTGTGCGGATGGACTCACGACCACTGTGTGGTCCCAGGATCAGCAGCTTCAGCCTCGCCTGGGCTGTTCTCAGAAACGGGGAGTGGGGCCCAGCACACTGTGTTCCCACAGACCCTGCAGGTGCCTGTGGTGACCCCTAACGCTTGAGAGCCCCACTGCACCCATGTTTGCTTGGGTGGTTTTGGTAGTGCTCCCAGCAGTGTTTTATTTCATCACAGTTACAGTTTGAAAGTTTTTTGTACTTGACTCCTTTCTTCCCCTACTTGGGATCCAGAGTAAGTCACTTAACCTGCTGATCCCTAGTGATGCATTTCATCTACAAAATGGGTAACAATAGCTTCTGGCATAAAGTCCTACACATGAGATTGATATAGTTTTTTTATTAGCTTCCATTGTTTACACGGCATTTGAGTCTCAGGGCAAGCTCAGGCTTACTGTTTTTAAGTTTAGGGGTGTGGCTTAAATTTAGTAATTTAGGAATTAACAGAACTCATACCTTCTGGAAGTGCTAAGGAGAGTTAGAAGCATGAGCTTTTGGGGCCAGTTCCTCCTGCCGTAAGATAGCCCGTGTGCGCATGTCTTCCTAGTTCCATGTTTAATGACATCATGTTGGTAGCTGAAGTTGGCCATGATGGGGGCAATTATGCCAACAAAATTGGTGATGCTATAATCCAGGGCTTTTGCTCCCAGATTGCTGGTGTTTAAGTATTTAGCAGCACACTGTGGTTACAAGGTTATGTTCCCATTAGCTAAGCTGCATCTGCATGTTTGTTTGATCCAGTCTTTCAGATCTGTCATTACTGAAGACCCACGGCAGAGGTCAGCATTAGAATATATATAAAATAGTGGGATGGATGTCAGGGTCAGTCCCCAGATAGGTTTTGTTGGCCTCCGATATTAAAAAAAAAAAAAAAAAGAATCAACTAGTTCTCAGCACTTAAAAACTGGATGATTTCACATAAAAATCTGGATTTCCAGCTCTCAGGAAAATGGGATCTTCTGGCACCACTGAGCCCCCTGTTACCATGGCAACAGTGGGCTGCTGCTGTGTTTTAAATATGTGCGGATTGCCTTGAATGCCCCAATCCCCCTCATTCTGTTACTGTACATCTAGTCAAGGGCTTCACTCTTACAGGTTTCCATACTGTCACCTGTAGGCATTTGCATTTGTTACCCCTGATAAAAAGAAAAACTAAGTCCAGAGAAAGAGGGTTTCTCCATAGCTAGGATCTGAGCATGCTGTTTCAAGCTTTTCGCAAAGCTAATTCAGTTGTACTAATGAGCTGCAGAATCTGAGGAGTAAGTTCCACCTTATTCTGAATTTCAGATGGTTTGTTTGAAAATCCAGTTAACGACTGGAGTCATTGCTTGCCTTTGGGAGCCTGTCCTTTTTCCTGGAGGGTGAAGACTCGACTGAGGTCTGAATAGGTCTCACTCAAAGTGACTGACGTTTCTTTTTCCCAATTTGGAGCTGCATGACTTCAGAAATATTCATCCCCCAGTAAAACATGAAGAACACGTGTTTGCTCCTAGCACTTTATTTGAAAATGTTTTTGAGGGAAAAGGGTGAGATAACAATGTTCCTTTCAGATCAGAGTTGTGTGTTTCTAAGACCTAGTTTATTTGCCTTGACAAGTTTTTCTTTTTCCCTAGCATAGTTTCAGGACAGCCAGCTGGACAAACTGCGTCTCTGTCCATGTTTGTGATGTTGGCTTTGGGAATGACCGTCAATATTGTTGATGGACTTCTGATTAATTTTTAAGCAGGTTAACCTAGTCCCAGGACTGGCTGTTGAAGTTGGTACTTTTCCGTTTGGGTTGTTCCAGGAGGTCATAACTTTGCCTGTGCCATTTAACAAATGTTTGCTAAGCAACTATGACAGACAGGACTTTGAGCATGCTGCTGCAGGGCACCCAGTGAACCAGAATGTAACTAACGCTGTAAGTGTGATGACAGAGGTTAATGGGAGACTGAGAAATCTGGGAGGACTGAGCACATAGCATTTCCACTGCCATGTCTCACTGTAGTTTTTTAGGCTCCAGATAGTTTTATACCTATAGTATTAGCCCCTTGAGTTTGTTTTTTCTTTTTTTTTGGAGGGCATCTCTCATATTTATTGATCAAATGGTTGTTAACAACAATAAAATTCTGTATAGGGGACTCAGTGCACAATCATTAATCAACCCCCAGCCTAATTCTCAACAGTCTCCAATCTTCTGAAGCATAATGAACAAATTCTTACATGGTGAACAAGTTCTTACATAGTGAATAAGTTCTTACATGGTGAACAGTGCAAGGGCAGCATATCACAGAAACTTTCGGTTTTGATCACGCATCATGAACTATAAACAATCAAGTCAGATATGATTATTCATTTGATTTTTATACTTGATTTATATGTGAACCCCACATTTCTCCCTTATTTTTTTTTTTAATAAAATGCTGAAGTGGTAGGTAGATGCAAGATAAAGGTAGAAAACATA